CTCCTAAGTGAATCGAAACTGTATTTTATGTCATAAATGGTTCTATACCGTACTAATAAGAAAATCCTTATAAATCTAAGATGTTTCCATTTTTTTTATGACCATCTTGTATTTGGAAAAACGTTCTATCTAAGGAGTTTTTCCCTTCCATAAGTAGTCCAACGTGCTTGGCCAAATAATCATGTGTTGTATTACTATGGAAAACTGTCTATTAAATTACTGAAATATTAAGTTTTTGGTATTTATGTTTGCGTGTATGTTATACCGTCGACTAATTTTCCAAATGAAAATATGTTACTAAAGACCACGATATGCTGCCAATAGTGGAAAGATGTTCCCACTCATATTCAAACCCATTAATCTTGTTAGCGAAAACAATAATAGCATTTTGCGACTTATAAAAATTTTTTCTGTTAAAATTGGCAACTTTTTGTACTGGTCGATGGTATGATAAGTAAGCTTTGATTTTTTCTATTGAAGTATTTGTGCTGGATTTTAATATGTTTAAAAAAGGTCTTGTGTGTGTATGTCCTCATTTCAAGGTCATGATTATAACACGTGATTATATAGCCTTTTTCTATATATCTAGCTTATAGTTCTAAGAGTTCAGTGAGTCGACAAAGTTTGAAGACCACTGGTATAAGTGAACAAGTGTATTGTCTTTTTACATGCAAGGGAATAGTTTTCATTATTGGCTACAAATCGTGGTACTTGTGGCATAGTTTTTTCATTTGACGAATTGACATAATAAGTACTAAAATAGCTATGCTTTAAAATAAAGACTTTCACATTTACACCATGCAATTTTATTGAAATACTTAAATAATCCTTACTTGGGCCATTTATTTTTCTTTCGAATTTCCTGCAGTTTTTTTTATATTTTATTAACAATTAAAAAATAGCATTTGTTACAGTCCAACTATAGAAGGCGCTGTGAAAGAGCGGAAATATAAAGATGTAGTAATACGCCCACAGACACTCGAGAGAGTTGAAGGTATGCGACATGTTGCGAGTTATCATATTACCGAGAGTTCTAGCGTATGATATTAGTATATCTGAAAGTGTTTAGTAAAGTCTTGTTATATTTGTAAGGAAGTCAATGAGAGATTTGAGTAGCAAGTTATTCCAACCTGATCAAAACGCGAAATCACTACACATGAGTGTTGGATTCGAGTGAGTCCTCAACACATTTAAGATATCCGACTACGTTTGGAACCGTGATTTTAAAAAAAAAGCGCATAAATGGACAATTTTCACGATATTTAGTGTCATTTAGATAAGAATACATGTATAAAATTGTTTTAAGGACATTATGACAAAAAAAAAGTATTTAAATACAATATTTTGGCAAAAAATTAACTCAGAATAACATTTTTTCAAAACGTTCTCCTTTTATAAGAAATGCTTCTATAATAATAAAATCTTGCTTATAGGTAAAGTACAGACTTCACCAGAGAGTCTGAACTAGGACTTTTGAAAAATTCACATTATTTTCAGAGTTACAACCTATTGAAATAATTATCGACGTTTTTTTCTTAAAATTTCTCCCCTTTGTTGTCGTAAAATATGGATAAATCCACTTCCAAGTTATATGTTTAAAAAATTCTAGTTCAGCCTCTGTACAGAGATCTGAGCTATATACAGGCAAATTATCATTGTAATAGAAGCATTTTTCATAAAAGGAGAATGCTTTGAAAATGGGTCATTCTATGTTCATTTTTTGTCAAAATATTGAACTTAAATAATTTTTTATTGTAGGAGTAGTTAGTTCTCGTAGTTATATTCTTAAAACAATTTTATATACGTTTTCTAATCTAAGTGACACAAAATATCATAAATATTATCCATTCATACGCTTTTGCAAAATCAGGTTCCGAACGTAGTCGGATACCTTAAGGAAATATATTTTATTTTGCCGAATTTTATGTTTACATTTAAATTTTAGAGGTGGGAAGAATACTTCGATAAAAAACCATTCACTGTCATAAAGAAAATTAAATATAATGGTGATTATTTGTCATGAAAAAATAAGAAGCATGTTGCAATGCACAAGGAGGCATCACATTCTGCACACATGTAGCGAGTCCTCTTTTCATGTCCCTTTCTGATACATTTCCTACATCGTCTATAGTTGGAAACCACCTTTGGCGTACAGTTTCCTACACTGGCTAAGCGCTCTTCACCCGGAACTACACACTTCTTTGCTTGGAAGTTAGTAGGACGTCCTTTCCTTTTTTTTGAGGAACATCCGTCTATTACTTGATGTGCTAATGTTATACTGAATGTTAGCTGGTCTAAATTTCTGTTTCTTTTGTCCCCTTGCCGCAATTTGAAACTATTTATGATGGCAAGGTCAATAAAAAAATAAAAGAAACGATGCCACCCTTTTACAAATGGTCTTCTAATTTGGTAACTTTCTTTGATTGGAACGATCAAAACCTCCCATGGCATCGTTATATACAGCGACAGCTTTTGGACAAGGTACTTTTTCTTTAGTACCGTCTTTTTTTAGCCGATTTACAGATGTTATAATCGCTGGATCATGTGAAGTAGCACAAAGCTGAAACGGCAATTAATTTTCCCATTGTTATAATGGCAAGGGCAATATGTTATAATGGGTTTGCGTTTCTCACAGGTGTATTTCTGTAAAATCATGTAGATGGGAAGTAATCTTCCTAACGCCTGTGACAGATTTATACACGATTTTCCAATTAATCTTCTTGGGAAATCTTTGGGCTATCAATTCGCGTTATTCACAACCAACCTTTCGCAAGAAGAGAATCGTGATATGTAAATTAACTTCATATAAATAGGTGAGGTTTTCAAGCTTGAAAGAGAGAAGGAGAGAAGATATACTCGAGCCAGCTGAGATTGCTACTGAAGGTATACTATTAGAATTATAGTAATCTGATTCTTGTTAGAAAGAAACTTTAAAGTGACGATTGTTCATTAGGATTGAATTAAATTAAATTGAATCATATAATAGACTATATCCTTAATTAAGATAAGGATCCAGTTTGTTAGTCCCCTAATCGCTCACGTTTTACTGTCGTTGTTCCACTTTCAAAGTGACATTGGGACATTCTCTTAATATTATTAATTGTGATTGTGTCTGTTCTTAGTGTGTGGAAATAAATAGAATAGTTGAATCATGTCGAGCATTTCTTCCCTTCTCCCCTCCCCCACACATCTAGGGGCCCGCGAGAGAGGTGCGAGTCTCTTACAGCCCCTCGAAAAGGGTTAAGATTAATGTATCAACATCATATTAAAAAATCCAATTTATATATTTAAAATCGACTTTACGGTAATAAGTACTAAAAATGTAAAAAGAAAAAAACTTTGTTAAATGCTTTAAATCCAGAAATAACAGCGCAACAGGAATTTTACTATACAAATCTTTAGTTTTAACCAACAGTTTTCACTCATGATTGGTAAGATTTCGACTGTATTTTCATTTTTGCATCAGAACTTTAATCAAGTAAAGGGGCAAAAGACAAAAAATTTTCTTTCCATATGAGTTATGGAAGCATTGAAAGAAATTAATAGCGGCAAAAGAAAGCCAGACCCGCTAGAAAGAAATCCTTTTCTTTCGAGAAGAAAAATGATAACTGAATTTTTCATGAAACCAAAGCCTTGATATCAACTTTACGGTGAGCATCACCACATTTCCTCCGTCGCGACTGCCATGTTGAGATGTCTCAAAAGTGAAAAACGATTGCTTTCGCCTCTGAAACAGAAAGGAATTGTACAGTTATTTATTGACAGTGACATTTATTAAACATTTTTAAATAACTTATTTAGTTTGTAAAATATATTATTCTATTAATAAATGTATTTTTTAATTTTTTTTTCTTGGGATTTTATAATGTACATGTTATTCAGGAGAATTTTCTAGTGTGTCAATTTACTTAATTATCGTAGTGGAAAACAAAATTTTTCTCTGTCTTTTTCAATTCCTACTATTAGCTCACTCTCTCCCTATACATATATATATACTCATATACACAGTCGAACCTCAATATAACGAAGTCGCTAAATCCCTAAAAAAAGTTCGTTATATACAGGTTCATCTTTCAATTTTCTTTATAAACCACATAACACAAATTTTAAATTCATAAACACTATATATATTTTTTAAAAAAGTAATTATATACACCTTTTTATAAATTAATAAAATTTGTTTTGTTTATCTTACCTATTATATATAAAAAGCAAGAAAGAAAAGCTGCAAGGAAAGTTTTATAACGCCTTTATTCCCTTCCTGAAGAATTAATTATTTTTCTTTGATTCTCAAGCCCTTATGTTTTGATATTTTCGAGCTACAAGAAACGAAGTTACCAGTACTACTGATCAACACTGCAAATGAACGTAGTCTAGTTCAAAAACACGAGACAACTCCACTGAGAGTAATAGATGATATAGAAGATGTTTCCAGTGAACTAGACGACGAGGGATTAAAGGTTACACTGAAACGTCCAGAATTCTATTGCTCTTGGCTAGCTCGGTACTAATAAAAGCAGTTTAAGATTTATAACCACCAAAAATGAGTTAAAAGGAAGAATTACTTGAAATACCCAGAAATACTTAAAAAAAAGGGAGAAAAAAATTGAATTTCGAGAGAAAAAGTTCATTATATAGAAAATGCACTTCGCTATAGGGAGGTTATTTACGAAGAAAATCGTGAAATATTCTTGGTTCCGGGAAAAAGTTCGCTACAGCAGAAAAATTCGCAATATAGAGGTTCGTAATATGGAAGCTCGACTGTATATACATAATATTTATGCACATATCTTGTTCAAATTTTCAATCGTTCATAAAATACTTTCTCCATCCATTCAAGTTCAAATACATTTTTTAAGCTTGTAGCGGAAGACAGTTGATGTTTATACAGTTTTTTCAAATATTTATACATTAGTTAAATTAAAAAATTTGTAAATAGTAACACACACACACAAAAAATTAGTCCAACAGCATATATAGAAAGAAAAACCGTTCATTGTGTTCTTGTAGCGCAATGGATAGCGCGTTGGATTTCTAATCCAAAAATCGTGGACTCAAATTCCACGTGGGATGGCCTAATTTCTGAGAACGTGATTTTGCCAGTACTTTTTCCTATAATATTGTATTAGAATAATTAAGTTAAGGAATGAATGAATTGTAACAAACAAAAAGAAGTAGTCCAGCACCATATATAGAAAAAAACGAAAAACTGCAAGGAAAATCGCTTTCTATTTTGTCATTTAATATTGTGACTCTGTCCTATGTATATACATATTTATAGTAATTGTAACTATTTAACAGAAAGTAACTAAAATAAAATTTTTCTTTGTTGACCTAAGTAGGAATTGACTTAATTTGTTTATATATATTACTTGGTTTATTTTTAAAGAAAAACAAGGACCCAAATTGGATACCAGTACGCTACTCGTTTTTGGCATAATTGTGAAATCGTGGCAAATAGATCTTTGACGGTCAATTTAATGTTATCGTATGTAATGTTTTCGCCCTAACTTGTTGAAATTTTGCAACTATTTGGCGGAATAATGCGTAGGGTACCGCTTTTAAAATGTGTAAGAATATCAAATACAGTAGATTTTTCCCCATGGGAGTGAAACGGGTGCAATATAATGAAGTTACCCCCGTTTCTACTCATTTCTGTAAAACTATATTATATTTCTGCTTTTGAAAAAATAATTCTAATTTAAACATCCAATCAAAACAAATAAATCTGCTTATGTTGTCCTCTTTTTGTTACTTAAGGCTCCCCGCTGTTTTTATTTACTACATTTCTCAACAAAGTATTTCACAATTCCATATTCAGTAATACCTTTTCTTCTATTCTTCAATCAAAGAGTTGATTGTCTCCCACTTAAATTCGAAACACTTCAAGAGAAAAAATAAAAAAATAAAAATTTTTCTTCCGCCATAAAAATAGTTTTCCTTCAATACATTTTTCAATCATGGATATTTTCGGTTATTCCTTTAATACTTGAAAAAAGTAATCTCTCTATAATGCACTTAGTTATTAAAAGATTTTACATCCATTCTTATTCATCTTCTGTAAAAAGAAACTATCTTATCTTCCTTTTCTTTTTACAGAACATTTCCCATTTTCTAGGGCTTTGTGTAATACTTCCACTTCCAATCCATATTTTTTGCCCATTCTTCTAACCATTTTATGCAGTACTCGTTTTTCTTTGTTACGAATTTTGTGTAAATAGCGTAAATAATTTGTATTTGAATGTGTAATGCATTTATATTTATCTATGTTATATTTATTTTATGTTAAAATTGTAATATTCACATGCAATGTCGTCCCTTACGCTATAATGGAGATTCAATGGGAACTTGGCGATAGAACCAAGTTTGCATCATATTTGGCAACCAAGTTCGGCTGCGGTAGCCCAGTGGTCAAGGTATCGGATCATGGCAGGCATGTCATGAGTTCGAGCCCAGGGACACTAAAGACCCACCGTGTAGGACAGCGATGCACGTTAAATGTATCGAGAGCTGAAACGTCCTCCCTTTGGTGTGGTGTGGTAGTTAGGAGAGGGGTTGCCAGCTCAGGTGTCGTCCACGTCACTTGACCATGGTTCAAAATTACGTGGTCCGTCGCCAAAAGCCCTCGTGTAACTGAACAGTGTGACGTTAATATTCACTCACTCACCTGACAACCAAATTGGCCGCCAATTTGGTGACATTGACGACCATGTTGGCGACTTTGGGACTCTCTGGATTCTTCTAGAAATTTGTAGAGAAATACACTAATATCACGCTCAAAGACGCGAGTGGTTATCTTTTTGGAAATTTACGCCGCGTTTAAAAAATGGAGCGGAGATCACCTAAACAGTCTTTCTTGATTTAACCTGCGATTGGTAAACTTGTTTTGACCGTGATTACCGATTAGCTCGGCTGTGCTTGTGAATAATCTTTTGCCTACGTGTGTTTTGGACACTTTTAATTGTGTCTGATTGCTATTGAAGGTGTGAAGACCTTCTGAAATTTATTCTGCGAATATTGCTGGTGAATCCTGAATTTTGAGGATTCGATTTTCGACAATAAAATCACATCACTCTTAAAGAACTGTTATTTTTCTTTGTGACCGTTTCGCTTAAAATCCTCGAATCGGATCTACATAACATCTTGTTTCTTATTTATCGTATTGTCAACTTGTAATCCCCCTATTTTGTTATAAATTTTCGGTACTATTCCATTCCCCCTATCACACACAAATCTTGTCCAGTAGACTTTATTAGTGACAACACACAACATACACACGAAAATTTCTGAAAACTTTTTTCTTCAAAGGCATAAACATTTTAATATCGCTTAAAATTTTCTCAAATGGGTCTCGTGAAATGTCAAATGAAAATGTGGTGGCAATGTTGGCGTCTGTTGTACCATTTTTGTCGAGTACTGCCTGTGCCGGCGAAATCGAAAAGTACCGAAATTTTTATTGTCTGTTCTTCTGTGTTTCTAACAATCTTAATGCAATTTTCGCTTTATAACTTACTTTGCAGCATACACTAATTACCCTATATGTAACTAAGGTATTATATAGTCTATCATCTCTAATGCATCTTTATAAAGGAATTACGTTTCCAATATCTTGTACAGTCGAGTCGGGAAAGCTCTGCATTCGGTAACCCAGCACAGTCCGGATAGATGAATCCTTGCAAGGTTGAAAACACTCTCATGAAGATGTCCAATTCAGAAATTATTGCTGCTGTCACAGTTAATGAAAAAAATGCTGGAAAACAATGACAATAATGTTGAGGACACTGTACAAATTCCTAAAAGATCACATAGTAAAGGACTAAAGGTTGTCGAAACCAAAGTATTTTGAGCAACAATGTGCGTCTGTAATGGGCTAACCGTTTCTTCGTCGTCTTAGTGATGAAGCAGCAAAAAGAAGAGTGCAGTAACAACAGGACAATACGCATTTCCTTAATACAAGAAATATAAAAAAAAATTAAGTCAATTCCTACTTAGATCAAAAAAGAAAAATTTTATTTTAGCTACTTTTTATTAAATAGTTACAGTTCATTTGTAAATATGTAACTATATACATTGACAGAATCAAAATTAAAGTGGTAATTAATTTTTATTCATTATCATTAAAGTATCGTATTGTCATCCAAAACAATCGAGTATATAAAATTTCAGTTCCATTCAATGCTTTAAAACGTGAGAAAAAAACCTTGTCAAGTTTTGACACACAAATCGCCCAAAGGGTCGCTAAGTCGCCAAAAATGATGTTAACGTGGCTGTGTAAATTTGTAATTCTTTAAATAATTAGTTTTAATCAAATAACTTTTATTAAATATAATTAAATTACTGTATTGACATCCAAAATAATCAATTTTATAAAATTTCAGCTCAATGGAGCGCTTTAAAATGTATTTTATTAACGATTGAAAATTCCACCAAGATAAATAAATAAATATATTGAGAGTTGAGCTAATAGTAGGAATTGAAAAAAGTAGCAAGAGTTTTTGAAATGTCAGCTAGTTATTTTTCATTATAGCTAGGCTTTATGCCGTTATAAAGTATTTTTCTGAGGTGTGTCTGATCAAATAAATTACTGTATGCAATGCAATCATTCATTTTCGTTTACATGGTGTAAATGCTCTATGCCTTCGTAAAGTACGTACTTTTCCTCTGTTCAAAGGTGTTTAATTAGTTTACTTTCTGTTGTACTCTCTCAAGCAAACAAAACACATGCATGTGCATTACTTTACTTTCTGAGGAGACATTCATATTCATTCCTTTTTAATCCTATTCTCGATGACGCCCGAAATTTACAAAAACTCGGCCAGCCTTCGGTCCACATTAGGCCGAGTTTTCGGGACTCAACTCTATTCGTAAATGATACATTTTGAATCTTTTCAATAAACCTTGCAATTGAATTTAAATAAATTTTATAAGCATAATGGACGGATTATGTACATTATTTTTATAAGATTGTATCAATTATAAACAAAATACATCCTTACTAATATTATAAACGTGAAAGTTTGTATGTATGGATGGATGTTTGTTACTCTTTCACGCAAAAACAACTGAATGGATTTTAATGAAACTTTACAATAATATGGCGTACATAAAAAAAATAGCGGGGTGCCTATTTTTTATAAAAGTAAAAGGTGAATTTCCAAAAAATAACGAAAATGCCAAGTAAGTGGGAAAAAAATTTCTGCCATCTCAGTATCCGGCCCACGCCAGCATATATCTATCATTTATTTTAAGCAAAAACTTTCCCTTTTTTGTTTTGTCTTCGCCATTTAATTTATTGCTTTGATCAGTGTAATCACTATTGTTTTTTATTTCAGAATAAAACTAGATTTCAAAGGGGAGAGGTTGTGTTAAGTCTCTTTTTATTTGAATACCTATATTGTTTTTTTTCATTTTAAGCTATTATCCCCAAAAAAATAGTGAACCAAAAGTACAAAAAATTGATATTTTATTTCTTTGCACGTTTTTTTAATAATTTTACTATACATTTGGTAGTAAAAATTGATCCTTATATCAAAAAAATTTTTTTATCGCTTCTGGTTTTTAAAGTGGACAAAATTTGTCATGCACACTCCATTTGGACAAATTTTTGATTTTGTTTGGGAATAGTTAAATTATAACGCTATTTTTTAATTGAATGCAGGTATTGCTTTTTTTTAAATATAAAATAAAAATAACTATGTACTGTTTTTTTGGAAGTGTAGAAAAATACCTACTAAAATTGGCCCAAAAGATGCTTTTTTCCGGGCTTAATAAAGTTCGCGCAAAAAGTAGCTCTAAAAAAAGGCCAAACTGCTCTATCGCCAATATTTCGCTTATTTCCAAACGCCTTTAAATTTTAAAGGGACGGTGCCCTTGAAAAAAATTTTAATAAAAAAAAACCAAAAAAGGTAATATTAACGTATTATACTTCCAGTTAAAAATTTTTTTTCGCTTTTTAAGGGTTTTAAAACCCTTTTTTTGGTTTAATTTGAAATTCCGAAAATTAACTATTAAAAACTTTTTAACCTTCAATTGTTAATTTGTATTGTTTAATTTTCAATTCATCGAAGAACGGG